TTGGGGTCAACTTCAAAAACAAAATCGAGAGAACAGTATAGTAGCCCTGGTAATTCTACACATTTCATGTCTTGAACATTTTTATGCATAATCAAATTTATAGACCTGACAGCTCTTCCCGCGAAGCTTTTTTTTTTGGTCGACAATGGCAGAAATGACGTCACTCCGACGTAGCGGCCAACTTATCATAGCCTTTGGAAAAAAAATTTGGTCACAATGTGCAAAAGGGTACTGAAAGTTTGGTGAAGATCGGCGCAGCGGTTCTGGAGATATATCGAAAAAAAACTAAAGATGGATGCAAAAAATGCCCCCCCCCCCCACCGCCTTGAGGGTTAAGCTAGATCCTTTTTTTTGCATGGGTGGACTCTACAGGGCTACCAAACTGATTTCGGACTTTCGAAATGTTGAATATTTTGAAAATTATAAATATAAAAACTCAGAAATTGTATTTTTTATTTTTTTACATATACGTTTCTGAATGAAAAAAAAGCAGAATATGACCACGTTTCCATGGGCATCACTGATCCGGATCAGTAAAAATGGATTAGCTAATCCAGTATAGTTAGACAATATATGAAAATGAAAATAAGGGATTAACTGATTATATAAGCCTAATCCACTTGGAATTATATCATGTAACGAAGAGTTCGAGAAATATAATACGATTTAAGTTTGCTGATCCGGATCAGTGATGCCCATGGAAACGGGGTCTATATGTGTTTGAACACATATGCGTTGAATATATGTGAACTTCATCTGACAAACACCTTTTTTGTTGAAAAATGTCAACTTCAAAATTTGACCATTTTTGACCTAAAGTGACCTGACCTGACCTCAGCTATATTCAGCTAAAATGGCCTAAACTGACACATACAACACTGATTTCGATATATATGGCCTACATGAACCATAAAACATGTCTCACGTCACCGATGCACGATATAAAGCTTTCGTGACCTGGGATGAGATGGCCTTGACCTGAAAAATTCGAAGTACAAGTTCGGTACCCTCAGGTTATGTTACGCATATATTCACGAGTGTGCAAACAAAAAATGAGCCTGATCTGATTTGTTGGCCGGCACCCAGAGTGCCAAGACGCTGATATTTTTACTTTGACCTGACCTGTGACGTCATCGATGACCTCGAGGTCAATGACATTAGGCTTCGCTCAACAATATTTCCAGGGCTACCAGGGGCCGTTTGAATTTTGACAATCGGCCCAGTAGTTTCGGAGTTAGGAGCCCCCCCCCCCCCCCCACTGTAACGTGCTGTAACGTGCTGTGGGGCGCGTTAGAGCACATACCCCAGTGAGGCGTGGGTTAACAAATAAAAAAACACGTTGATTTCCGACGCTGGGAAATGCCCGCAATGATACCCACCCCACCACCCTCCCCCTACCCGGTCCAACAGGGTCTCAAGGAAATTCAACAACATGAACCGAAACAAAGGCTGCGATCTTTGCTGGAAATGGCACTCGTGAGATAAGTATTATTATGCTGAAGATACAACGACTTACTTGTTATTTCCGAGTATCCTCCACCGTCAGCTACGCTAACCACCCACACAATCACCGTTCAAATATTTAAAACCACGGAGCACCTTCACAACGCCGGCGCGCGGCCGGAACTGACATGGCGGCGCCGCTGCAGCAGAGTCAGACGCACGTGGATTGTTAGTAAGGGTGTAGTGTTGTCATGGTGTTGCCATGGTATACCTTACCATAGCAGCAGAAGCACACCCAGGGAACTGTTGCAAGAAATTTCTGGCCTTTCGTCCATAAAACTATTAATTGCTCAGGGTCTCAGCTAGTCCTTGGATGACGCTCCTTCCAACATATCAAAAATTGGCAAACACCTCTATGGAAAGGAGGAGACTTGATCGCCGAATTCACCTGCTGGATCCGCCCGTGGAAAGGTTGATTTTACTATGGTAGGGAATATTAGCTTACGAGGGTATCTACTAGCCTCAGGTGGTTACCACCTTGTAAACTGGGGTACAAAACCACCCCTGATAAACGTAACCATGGTAATATCAACATGTCAAGGCAGGATAGTATTCAGCACCATAGTAGGCTGGTAGTAATATGATGGTAGGCTGATGGTAAAATTTACCAAAGCTAGTAACTTAGTAAATTGATGGTAAAAACTTTTTTCAGTGATCGCGCACCGCCACCGAGAACTGCACTCGGTGGCGTTCAAGAGACGACTGCCCGCAGCGACTCGAGGAGCCGCCGCGGGCACAAAGAGAACAATTTTAAGGCCGTGTTACACTGCCGAATTTTGGCCACGACCCTGTCGCCGAACCACGTCGTGTAGGAAATCGGCGAACAGTTCACCGACAGAGGCGAACAGTTCGCCGACAGAGTCCGATTTGCAGAAAACGGGTGGGGGCCCCCCTAATCGTGCGCGGGCCAAAGCTGATCCATGATTCGGCGACCATCGCGAATGAATGGCGAATCTGTTGCGAATAGTCGGCGATACCTTGGCAACAAGTCGACGCACGCAGCGACATGTCGGCGGCGACTCGGCGACTGTTTGGCGATCATGTTCGTTTATCATAAGTTCGGCGAACGGCCACGAAATTTTCATTTTTCATGAAATATTCGTGGCGGTCGTGACGAACCGTAAAAGTCGCGCGGTGGACACCGGCTGGTCTGCGAAATGCCAAGACCGTGGAAGAAAGATGCCGAATCGGTCCGCGACATATGATGACTTGCATATTCGTGCACATTCGTGTACCAAAATTCGGCAGTGTAACAAGGGCTTTAGGTTGTACAACTAAAAGCACTCAGAAAGGGAAACTAGAAAGTGGTGTCAAATGTCATATTGTATTGAAAAAAAAAACTAGAAAGTGGTGAGAAAAGTCAGAGCAGGCTCGCGCGGCACGCTCGGTTATACGATACGGTGCGCGGCGAGCACGAACAGCCGTCAAGTGAGAAGCGATAGCGCGAGTGACAAATTGTAGGCAATTAGAACATGAGACGAGAAACTAACACAAGAGTTGGTCCAGGCCCACGGGGCACGATCAGTACTGCGATAGTTCACGCGTGGCTGTCAAATGTAAAACGAAAGAGAAGAACAACAGGGCAGTTCATTTCGTCGGTGACGGCCATAAAACATGTGTCGCATGCCCATGTAGTAGAAAGTGAAAACCGTGACCTTTCGTGACCTGACCTGAGCTTGACCTGTGCTTAGTTGGACCCCTTTACGCACATGGTATCTTCACTAGGCCTTTGAAGTCATTTTTGGTGAGTTTCGAGCAGGAGCTATCGATTCCGCTGTCCGTAAGCCTCATCATGCAAAACCCCAAAATTTGACCTTTGACCTGACCTTGACCCGAAAGTTGACCTCAATCTTAAAATCTTAACCCGCGCCGGGCCGGTGCTCTGAGATTCCGCGCCGGGCCGGGGGGGGGTGTCTGAACACCCCCCTTCTAACTCGGCTCCTGGGCCACGTAGCGACACGCGGTAAGCGGCAATCGAAAGAACGTCCAAAATAAGGACGAAAACACTTCGGTCATTTTTTGGGTCAGGTCAAAGGTCAGGTCACCAGAGGTCACCAAAGGTAAAATGTTGACTATTTCAACATTTTGGAAACTGCCAACGGCTATCTCGGGAACCGATAGAGCTACAGCGCCGCGGAAAAGCGCATTCGATAGCCCTTTTACAGGCCTTTCTGAGTAATGTTCTCAGATTTGACCTCAGGTCAACGGTTTAGCCTCCAGAGGACAAAAACTCCAAAAATAGCCGTTTTTACGAAAATTGGTTTTTCGGCGATAACTTTTGACTCAAAAGAGCCATGACATTACTTTTGCCAGCATCGTGTTCCTCTCGTCGAGACGCGTCGAATGAACTATAAGTTGACCTTAAAAGGTCAACTTGAAAATTTGACCTCAGGTCAAGGTCATGACCTGACCGGAAAAGGTCATGTTGCATATCAGTCGATCCGCAACGTCCAGCCGAACACTTATAAGACGTTTTCAGCGCTCTAGGACGCCTCTATCAGAAGTTATTAGCGAAAAACTGTTAGATTCTGTTCGTGACCTGAGATGACCTCGGGGACATAACGAGGGGTCACAGTTGCCATTTTCTGGTTCAGTGTGTCAATTTTACCTACATCTCGATGTTTGAGAGTGTCTAGAATGGCGTTCGTGCAAAACAGACGCTTTTCAATTTTCTTCCATTGACTTATAATGGAGAGGCCGCAAAATTGACCTGACCTTAGGTCACCGATATCAAAATTCCGAGATATACATTTTGTAGATACTGTTGCTCTAATCAATCGCTGAAAGTTTCAAGGCAATCGATCAATCGGTGTAGCTATGACGAGCATTCTTATTTTTTCTGAGGTGAGGTCACTTGGCGTGACCTGGTGACCTGACCTTAGGCGACCTGGGTCTGAAATTTTAACAACATGTGCGGAAAAGATGTACGAACAGGTGTGCCAAAAACGGCGGCGCTCCGCGCCGCCGTTTTTGAGATATCTGCGAAAAACCGCAGGGGGGGGGTGTTCAAACACCCCCCCGGCCCGGCGCGGGTTAAGAGTGCTTTGGGAAGGTCTCGTAGAGACCTTCGAACGCCGCCTCGCGGGGATCGATACGACCATTGGCTTTCGAGATAATGGTGCCGGGCTTAGCACTAAGCAGGTATCTGAGGCATAACCACGTGGAGCTCTGAGAATGAGTGCCGGCCACTGATGGCCCCACATCGGTCGTTGAGGACTCAATTTAGGACCATAGTGGTCCCTTGAGAACTATTTTATCAATACTCCTTACATTATGCAGTACCAATTAAAAAGAAACTACCGCAGAAGAAAAAAATCAAGGTCCAGCATTCACTTTATAGCTTGTCTGTGACACACATAATATGATTTGGTATAGAGTAGGTGTGCATATTCACTTGGTCTATTTAAAAGAATCCTGCATTACAACAGCAAATGTGTATGTATACTAGTAATTATATGTAAGCTCACAAATAATGTTTAAAAAAACTCATTTTGCAGGATCATACCTAAGTTCCTGGGAAGATTCTAGCATGGCAACAACTGGCCAACCTTCTTCAGAAAGGAACACCCTGCCTATCACTAGCAATGTAAGTGAATGGGTGCGTTGTGCTTGCGAGCAATGTGTGTAAAAACATAACATCCCTATTTGACGAACCTGGCATTGTTTTCATTCTTCCGTATAAAATACAAAATAATTGAAACATTAACAGAAAATGTAAATAGTTACATAAAAAACGGTCGACGTACATATTTAAATTGAATGAAAAATGGCCTATGTAAGACATTTCACCTCAATAAACATTTCGACAGGAAAAAATCGACGGAGACGTTACCACCATTGGGAGCATCACGTTCGCCCAAAGCGGCTTCTTGGGAAAGGGTGCCTTATCTACTGTCTTTCGGTAAGCAGTAATTTCCGTCATAGAGCTTCTTACAGCTTTGATGTCGACCGGCTAGGGGCATTGATGGCGCCGTTTCTTGTTCTAGGCCTACATGGTCTCGGCTCATATCAAGGCTATATAAGCCAGTTAACCCGCGCCCGGCTGGGGGTCCTGGATTTCCACGCCCTGCTGGGGGGGGGGTGTTTGAACACCCCCCCTTGTAACTCGGCTCCTGGGCCATGTAGCGATACGCGGAAGGCGGCGTTCGAAAGAGCGTCAAAAATAATGACGAAATCACTTCGGTCAATTTTTGGTCAGGTCAAAGGTCAGGTCACCAGAGGTCATTGAAGGCAAAATTTCGCCGATTTCCAGGTCGAATGTCGAAAATTTCCAAGAAGCCAACGCATAACTCGAGAACCAATAGAGCTACAGCGCCGCGGAAAAGCGCATTCGATAGCCCTATTAAAGCCCTTTCTGAGTAATTCTCTCAGATTCGACCTAACGTCAACGGTTTTGCCTGCAGGGGGTAAAAATTGCAAAATTAGCCGATTTTTTCGGAAACAGTTTTTCTGCAATAACTTTTGACCCAAGCCTTGTACGAGCTTACTTTTACCGGCATTGTGTTCCTCTCGTCAAGACGCATCGAATGAACTATAACTTGACCTTGAAAGGTCAACTTGAAAATTTGACCTCAGGTCAAGGTCATGACCTGACCGGAAAGGGTCATGTTGCATATCAGTCGATCCGTATCGTCGAGCTGAACACATCTAAGGCGTTTTCATCGCTCTAGCATGCCTCTATCAAAAGTTATTTGCGAAAAACTGTCAGATACCATTCGTGACCTAAGATGACCTCAGGGCATAAACAAGGGTTAAGGACACCATTTTCATGTTCAGTGTGTCTAAACCACTTGTAATTTGGTGTTTGGGAGTGTTTATAATGTTTTTTGTCCAAAAGAGGCGCATTTCAATTTTCTCCCATTGACTTATAATGGGGAGGTCGCAAAATTGACCTGACCTTAGGTCATCGATATCAAAATTCTGAGATATACATTTTGTACATGCTATTGCTCTTAGCAATCGCTGAAAGTTTCAAAGCGATCGGTCTCTCGGTGTAGCTATGACAGACATTGAAACTTTTTATGAGGTGAGGTCATTTCAAGTGACCTGGTGACCTGACCTTGAATGACCTTGGTCTGAAATTTTCACAACATGTGTAGAATTGATGTACGATAAGGTATACAAAACACGGCGGCGCGGAGCGCCGCCGTTTTTGAGATATTCGCGAAAAACCACAAGGGGGGTGTTCAAACACCCCCCCCCCCCCAGCAGGGCGCGGGTTAACCCTCGCCCGTAAACGGCGATCTGCCACCTTCGCCCATGCAGGGGGGGGGGTTGGTGCGACCCCCCCCTTGGCGTTTGAAAACGGAGCGTCGTAGAGCTTAGCGGAAAAGACCAACGGATTGCTCTCGCCGAGATCTCGCGATTGGTGGTATATTTTTTGGTCCTAGGTCAACATTTGACCTACTTTTGACCGGTCAAAGGTCAAATTTTCGGAAAAATAGACTTTTTTCAACTTTCCGCGGCGATTGCGGCAAAAACGGTGGGAGATATCGACTTGAAAACTTCACTATCGTGTTCCTTGATCAATTCTCTATCGTTTGGTATGTATTTCGTTTCCCTAGCTCTAAAAATGGCGCGTTGGGAGCGCCGGAAGTCGGCAAGGTCACAGTCGGCGGAAGAAATTCGAAAAATCAAAAATTAAATTTTTGAAATCTGATTGTATTTTTGGATTTGGGAGGTCTATTTGCTCCCTATAGAAGCTAATATTGCTGCATATTCTCATTGAGGTGACAAGAATTAGCAAAATAGTGGTTCGGGCGCTTTTCAAAAATAGTACCGGACGCTGTTCCTCTTATGACGTCATAGCTCCGTGACCTGACCTGACCCGGTCAAGTTTCTTATACCATATGATAGCCAATACTTGCCCCAACATGCATGGGAAGTTTCATCACGATCCATCAACCGATGTCCGTACCACCGGCAGGAAACCTCGGGCGTTGGCACTCAGTTTGTGAAAATCCGGCTGGAGGCTGTTCCCTTTGTGACGTCATAACTCCGTGACCTGACATGACCCGGTCAAATTTTTTTTATCAAAAGATGCGCAAGGTTTGCCCCATAAGGTACCCAAAATTTGGCGGCGCTGCGCGCCGCCGTTTTTGCACTATTTCCGAAAAACCTCAGGGGGGGGGTTGCACCAACCCCCCCCCTACATGGGCGAGGGTTAAGAGTTTTCCGGTTAAAAATAGGCGATTCTAATGTCGCTTTTGGAGATCACTCGCGAGTACTCGCATGGACCAGATTTGTGTTGAATGCTACATAAATGCAATGAACGCCTACACTGGTTTCATATCTGTTTTTGCTAAGTCCGCTGCTTTTCTCCACTGTTACCCTTGCTGGACACATATGACGCCGTATTACAACTCTTCCCTGTACAGAGGAAAATGCGACAAGCGGAAAGAAGTGGCAATAAAGCGCATCCATTACCGCACCGAAGAGGAGCGACTGCTGATAGAAAATGAAGTCGACAACCTGTTGAAAGTCGAGGACTATGATGTGAAGGTCATCAGGTAAATCTGCTGTAGCAAATACAATAAACTCAATTGACCTGCATCTGAAGGTTTGCATATTTATGCATGTACGTAAGTACATATCTGTGCACATATCTGCAATAAGTAAGTCTGTGCACACAAGCACATATCTGCAAAAAAAAATTGTAGAAGGTCAAATAAAATGTCAACGCAATGAGGGAGCCTGCTTGTATACTTATCTATTGTACTCGAGCTACTGACGACTTTTTTTTATTTGGATATCATGCGCATGTCCTCAACTTGCGAACAAAACAACGAGATTGTGATCAACGATCATTGTTAGGGAAGATACATCCTGAATTGGAGTGTCTTAGATTGATGATTGTTTATCCCTATGGGGAAAAATGAACCAATTAAAAAATACTCCAATTTAGAATGTATGTTCCCTGATAATGACACCTGACCACAGTCTTGTTGATGTCGCAAGTTGAGACCATGCGTATTATATCCATTATCCATCTCAAAAGAAGTAGCCAGTACCACCCGTACAAGAGATACAAGAGCGGCTCGCTCACTGCGTTTGCATTTATGTATTTGACTTTTGTAATAAAAAAATCGGGCACTGTAGGTATTTGCGGAAACCCACAAGGTGGTGTTTAAACACCCCGCCAACAGGACGAAGTTAAAGGGACATGTCCATGTCTAACATGGGAAATGAAGTTCAGATAGCAGTTTTGTTCGTTACTATTCTAAAACCACGTAATCCGGAGCCATTCGTCTCAAAAATATAATTTGACAACACTAGAGAGCAATTTCGATGGTTTTTACCAGATCGCCAAGGTCTTTACCAGATTCGACCAAATGTGTATGACGTTGCCACGAAAGGACTAGATTTCAAGTTAACCCTCGCCCTGGCAGGGCATTTTTCATAACACGGCTTGGCAGGGGGGGTCGATGCGACCCCCCCTCGCGATTGGCTCCTATGGCACCTAGAAACACCAAATTTGGTAGGTAGGTGGGCCCCCTGGAGTTCTCGCCCCTGTGCAAATTTGGTTGCTCTAGGTCAATATTTAGGGGGGTTTTGGGGGGTATAAATGTAAAAATTTCGCTAAAAACAGGTCAAAAGTTTTTCGCTTATAACTTTTGATCTAATTAAGATAGCGCAAAAAGAAAAGCACCAGTGAACCCAGCACGTCAAGGCGCGTCGAATGATATACTTTTTAGCCTGCTTAAGTGTACTTAAAATTTTTCTTCAATTTTAAGTAAACTTGAATTAATAAATTAAGTTCAAGTTAACCAAATTGCATCATATCGCATATCATTCGATTCGGCTGATCACTAGGAACACAATGATACCATTTTTTAAGCTCTAGCGTCATTATGTGCCAAGTTATTGGCAAAAACGTCATTTGACCTCAGTTGACCTCATTTGACCTGACCCATGGATAATTACACCAAACAAAGAAGCACCAAGTGACCTGCTGTTAAGTACTGCTGGTTTCCAAGCACAAAAGTGATAAACGAAGCGGATATCTCCAGTATTTTCCGAATTTAGTATTTTCCCATAGGCTTAACATTACGACGTAATGACCTCTAACTGACCTCAGGTCAGTGACCTCAAAAAACCCGAACTATATGTTATACAACTCGGTGAACTTGGTACATCCTGAAAGTTTGAAGGAAATCAGTCCAAAACTGTGAGTTGGACAGGAGCAAAAAGAAAATTGAAATTTGACCATGACCTTGTAACGGTTTTTCTGACCTGGTGACCTGACCCAAGGTCACCCGGACCTGAAATTTTAGGTCATATGTAAAAAGGTTGCCCCAAAGGCTGTGCCAAATTTGGCGGCGCTGCGCGCCGCCGTTTTTACGCTATCTTTGAAAAACCTTAGGGGGGGTCGCATCGACCCCCCCCCCTGCCAGGGCGAGGGTTAAGGTGAACCGTTCCGCCTAATAAATTCGCCACATGCTATTCAATTGTTAAGTCACTTTATCTTGTATCTTATGAGCTATTTAATATACAAAACTGTCAATTTACAGGGTAGGTAGATAACGAAACGAAATACACCTTCAAAACGCATGCGCAATTATCGAAACTCACGCGCCATAACTGTCTGTAGCACATGGTTCATCATAACTTGTAGCGACTTGTAGTTCGCTATATTCACACCAGGTGGCTTTGTGTTGTTTATGACGTCTTTGCGATAAATCACGTCATCATTTTGATTGTAGTTATTCGTTGTTTTCATCAAAATTCGGCTAATCAATGGCATGCAACCACCTATTCAGGTATTGTTATCCATTTTCAAGTGTTTTGGAATCATCCACTTTATTTTTTCAAGGTGAACATATCCCTTTAATCTGAAAGACCTTTTCTTCTCATTCTTTAGATACTTTACAACGCAAAGGACTGCCAACTTCTACTATATTGCGATGGAGTTGGCACTGGGTACAGTGGAAGACTACGTGGCGAGGAAACAGGACGTGTCCAAATCTGGTATGGACGAGCTTGATAATCTCGAGGCGATCAGCATTCTCCGAGATTCATCCAATGCACTTGACTGGCTGCACGAGAAAAGTATCGGTGAGTTTTTTAATCACTAGTTTGCAATTCAACTCCAGCCTTCGTAAAAAGTACAATAATGCATGACATGGTGGTTGCCCGACGCCCGTTGCAAGCGACGGAGGACGGTCAAATCTGAAAACATCCGGATCGTCTGACCATTGTTACTTAATACTTACTATTTGTAAAAATGTGATATGCAGTCAGGCTTGAGAGGTAATGATAATTTTAGCTATGTGCTAAAGCAGACAGTTTCAGCGAGCTCTTGAGCTCTTTTTGCACATCCACTTAACCCGCGACGTGCTGGTGGTCCGAGTTTCCCGTGTCGTGCTAGGGTGAGGGGGGGGGGGGGGCGTGAAAACGCCATGAAAACTCGGCTCCTTGGCCAAGTAGCGACACGCAGTAAGCGGCATGCCAAAGAGCATAAAAAATACTGACGGAAATACTTAACCCTCGCCCGTAAACGGTGTTTTGCCACCTTCGCCCATGCAGGGGGGGGTGTTGGTGCGACCCCCCCCTGGCGTTTGAAAACGGAGCGTCGTAGAGCTTAGCGGAAAAGACCAGCGGATTGCTCTCAACGAGATCTCGCGATTGGTGGTATATTTTTTGGTCCTAGGTCAACATTTGACCTACTTATGACCGGTCAAAGGTCAAATTTTCGGAAAAATCTAACTTTTTCAGATTTCCGCGCCGATTGCGGCAAAACGGTAAGAGATATCGACTTGAAACCTTCACTATCGTGATCCTTGATCAATTCTCTATCGTTTGGTGTGTATTTCGATGTCATAACTCTAAAAATGATGCGTTGGGAGCATCGGAAGTCTGCAAGGTCATTTGTGCATTGGGTCACGTCAGGCGTGTGACGTCACTGACCTGACTCTGACCCAAAATGAACTACAAGAAACAACCGATGATGCCTGAAATGGATAGCAAATTCGAATTCAGGGCATCAAAATACCCCGAAAAGGCATACAAGTGCAAGAAGTCATTACAGGTCAACCGAGGTCACTGACCTTACCTTGACCTTTAGTAACCTTCAAAATGTCAACGGACATTGTGCCAATGTCAAATCAGCCAGTTGTGATTCTAAAACAATCCATCAGTGTGTCAGGTCAGTCGGCATTTATACCAATGTGAAGCAATCTCCAATTTAGCGTAAATCTGGCTGGAGGTTGTTCCCTTTATGACGTCATAACTCCGTGACCTGACATGACCTTGACAAAAAAATACCAGAAGTTGCGCAAAGGATGCCCCATAGGGTACTGGAAATTTGAGCAGGCTATCTGAAACGGTTCGGCGTGTAGCTAAGAAAACCTCAGGGGGGGGGGGTTGCACCCCCCCCTACATGGGCGAGGGTTAAGTAATTTTTAGGTCAGGTCCCAAGAGGTCATCAAAGGTCAAATTTAGTATGTTTTAACAGTTTTCGAAACACCCGATGCATACAGGGTGTCTCAAAAGTTTTTAAACACTTTTTAACATCCAGTAAAGTCCATATAATAGTTTATTTGTTTATTTGCTTATTTTTTCAAAACATCCACGGGCATGAGCACCCATTGATGGACGTAGTCCAATATACCTACATATTACACACACACACACGCATACCTTACTTGACGCATACTTGACAAAAAAATACCAGAAGTTGCGCAAAGGATGCCCCATAGGGTACTGAAAATTTGAGCAGGCTATCTGAAACGGTTCGGCGTGTAGCTAAGAAAACCTCAGGGGGGGGGTTGCACCCCCCCCCCCTACATGGGCGAGGGTTAAGTAATTTTTAGGTCAGGTCCCAAGAGGTCATCAAAGGTCAAATTTAGTATGTTTTAACAGTTTTCGAAACACCCGATGCATACAGGGTGTCTCAAAAGTTTTTAAACACTTTTTAACATCCAGTAAAGTCCATATAATAGTTTATTTGTTTATTTGATTATTTTTTCAAAACATCCACGGGCATGAGCACCCATTGATGGACGTAGTCCAATATACCTACATATTACACACACACACACGCATAAACACACATTAACGGATGAAAAATATCAAGCACACCTAGGTTCGTTAAAGTATGAGGAAATGCTACAGCTCACATCTCTTCGTTCTATCTAAGGTGCACAGTAGGGTGTGTCATTTTGGGCACTTTTTTCGCAAAACATGGTGCTCCACTGATATTATCGTGCCCCAGACACGTAGAAACCGTGTGGCATTTTTCATTTCCCCCAAACTTTAACGCCCATGCGGCGCCGACCGCCGACACTTTGGCCTATCTCTCAGCATTAGCGACCTCAGCGCCCCTGGCGGCAATGTGTTGAACTAACACGCTCGCTATGCTTTGTGAGCTCACGGTCATCATTAAATGCATTCTACAGGACTGACGCCTTGTTGTTGGCTTGCCTAGCACTCAGAGTGCTGATGAAAATGTGATGTCATGCATCTTAAAGCACGAAATTGTCCTGTGTGAATGTATATTGTATAGTACTACCCCCGATCCCCGTCCTGGTCTGACGGGATACGTACGAGTACATATTTAATATAGTACCTACTACCTACTATTAGGTGTCAAATGTGTTTTTTTGTAGCGTCGTTCACTGCATAGACCCCGGGAACAGGGGGCGGGGGCGCTTACCCCCCCCCCCTCCAACTTGAGAGCCGAGTGGGCGCCGCCCCCTCAACATTGATGCAACGATTAAGGATCTCTGCTCCCTTTTATGGACCTACATGTCTGTTTTATACAAACATCAGCACACGGTATTTCTCTTGCATGTGAATGGTTTCTGCTGATTCCGCATCGATTTAAGAACACCTGCTATTGTCATCCCACCTTGATTTTATCTGAACTTGATCATAACCCTCCAGGCGGTGGGGGGGGCATTTTTTTGCCCCCCCTTTAGTTTTTTCGATATATCTCGAGAACCGCTGCGCCGATCGTCACCAAACTTTCAGTACCCTCCCGGGAGCAGCTAGCGCACATGGTGACCAAAATTTTTTCCAAAGGCTATGATAGGTTGGCCGCTAATGACGTCAGAGTGACGTCATTTTTGCCATTTTCGACCCAAACAAAGGTTTCGCGGGAAGAGCTGTCAGGCCTACAGCTTTAGAGATACAGAAAAATGTGTCAAACATAAAAGGTGTAAAATTAAAAGGGCTACAAAACTGCTATTTCGGTTTTTCGATTTTTTTGGATTTTGACCCCCAAAAACCAAAAAATAGATTTTTTGAATATAATAGCCGAAAAATCCAGAAAGTTTTTTGAATTTCGAAAAAACCGGAATATATGTGATATTTCCTACCACCTTCTATCTACATACCAAATTTGAGATCGATACCTCTTTTTTTGGCCAAGTTATAGCGAAAAAACTGTTCAAAATTGATGACGTCAAATTTTCAAACTCAATTTTAAGCAATTCTAGACCTCGTAGCGCAAAACAAAGACCACCATTAGACTCCCCGTGACGAGCTGCATCGAATCAATACCCATTTTATGCAAAAATATCAACTTTGAAATTTGACCTTTTTTGACCTGACCTTGACCTGACCTCCACCAGAAAGTGACCTAAACCGTACCTGATGGTCTTATAACCAACACCATTGAGTTGGAAATGAAAAACTGGCCATAAAACATGCATCGCATAACCTTAGTAAAGTTGGGCTCATGTGGTGACCCTTGGTGACCTTTGGTGACCTGACCTGTGACCTGACCTGGTACGACCAGTGACCTCTAATAGCAACATATGTACTAGACAACTGACGCCTTATCGCTGATTTTCGACAAAATGCGTTTTACTCGGTGTTATAGCGCTTTCCCTAGAAGCCCCGTGAACGGTGAAACATTTTGTCTTTGACCTGACCTGTGACGTCATCGGTGACCCCGAGGTCAATGAAATTTGGTTTCTCTCGACAAATTTGACAGGACTATCGAACGCCGTTTGAATTTTCCGGATCCGTCCAGTAGTTTCGGAGATACGGGGGGGGGGCAAAAAAGTGCCCCCCCCCCCCACCGCGCGGAAGGTGGCTGGTAGGCCCACCGCCTGCCGGGATAACTTTGGTAGGCCAGATTTTATGCTGCACCATTTTGGTCCCGGATGGTTTTTTATTTGGCGACTGGCGTGATGAGAACATTATGACGGACAACGGTGGTAAAGTCGTTGATTGATACAGGTTTACTCGCTCCGGTGGGAGGGCGGGGTGTGGGATTCAGAAGGAGACTAATGGCTTGTGTTGTGCCTTTGGTAGGACTCTCAGTATCACCGAGTCCGATGCACAGGGCTCAAATAAAGCTCCGTCCTGCCGATGAGGTCGGCGACCACGAATGCATAACATTTCCCAATGGTGCGACCAAAAACGCGAAATATGAAACAATAAATTTTGAAGAATATCTTTGAAAAGCTATATAAATATTGGTAAGAATATTGACATAGCCTCAGCATCACTTATGCGCATCATCTAGTCAATTGTCATGGTTATTTCCACGGTACAACCTGGACACTGGACGGTGGGCTAACATACCACTGTTGTAGGATAAACTACCACCTTCCGTACACGGGAATACTACCACGCTTCCCCATCGGCGCTCGTCGGCGTTTTCTGTGCGACCACCCGTGTTAAACCAATGGGGAAGAGTGGTTGTCAAAATCGCCGACGAGCGCCGTTCATTGGTCGCCCAGATGGTCTCCTACTACGTAGTAGGTACGCGGCGTGGCGGGACGGGACGCTCACCCACCGCGCCGGCGCGCGGCCGGCCGGCCGGCCGGCCGCCAGCTGACTGCCGCCTTGGGGGAAGGGACGCCGAGGGGAGGGGTGGCGTCCGTCGGGTCAGCGAGGGGAGGGGTAGGGATAGGGATTCGGGCGCAAAATTTCACTCTTGTTTGTTATGGTGTATTTAGGCTGCGTTCGGACAGCCCGGTCACTGCGTGGAACTTCCACGCCGAGGAATTCAGTTCGGTCAGTGCGAAACGCTATGGCCAAACGGCCGAAAGGCGTTTTCGTGGGGAGCTCATCGGCGTAGAAACTCCACGTGGAAACTGGGCTGTCCGAACGCAGCGTTAGCGATCAAACCACTGCTTTTAATCCATGTTGTACTTAATTGCAGATTCGTGTACATTGGTGGCGCTTGATACGGGCTACGGGGCTGGGAATAGCAGCATTAGAAGGCTTAAACGTTCCTTTGCGTGTCCGACAACAAGAGCCATGGGCAGTTGGCACTGGGCAGCCGGTGCTGCGACCACAATATGAATAAAACTTTTGGTCGGCGACCACCAAACATCTTTTTTGAGCCCTGCCGATGCAGGACCTTCAGAGCCTCCAATTAGGGACCTTTAGAGGCACTGGTGTGGGGTCCTCACAGA